CAAAGAGGAGAAGGAGAGAGAGGGAGAGACAGAGAGCCTGGAGGACTAATTAGTGATTATAACTTGCCGCTCTCCAAACATAAAATATCTCTCAACCCAAAAGACAGAGGAATGATTAAAGATAAAAGAATAGGAATCAAACACAAGGAGCTGTGAAACACCCCTCTGGTACTGTGTGTGCGTGTCTGAGTGTATATACATGTGTGCAGGCATGTGTGTCCACGTGTGAGTGTGTGTTGGCTTCTTTGCCCCCTCATTAAACCAGGCTTTACTCTGGTAAACGGCAACAGCACAGAGCTCAATGTCAACTGATGAGGTTACAGCCATAGGCAGGCTCTGGGACACACACATACAGACTGACATGGATACACCAAGTCTCTCTCACGAACATGTTATATATACATCTTATAAATGCATGAACGGCACACCCAATTCATTTTTAAAATGAAACTTTCAGGTAAGTTTCCAAACGCGTTACTTTTGTCTTTGTTCTGACACAGCAGACAAAATGGAGAGTGTCAGCCTCCTCTGGCCACGTGCCAGTATGAGCTGGACGTTAGCGATTCACACATCAAATTCATACATCAAGGGCACCCTTCACCACAAGGCCTGCAACTGGCTGTCTGTATCGCTCTGGGTTTCCATAAGGGATCCATAATATTTTTTGACATTTAACTTCATCCCTCCTGTGTAACTTCTTTTCCAGATGCTCCTTGGAAATATTGCTACCGAGAAACATAGGAATACAATGCATGCATATTTAATTCAATGTATCTATTTAATGGCTCACAAACAACAATAATGACATGAATAATAAATTAAACACACACACACTCAGACATTCACATGCACACTGAGTTTTGTTTGGGCTAGAAATTGAAGCTCACACAAGCTGAGATGCCACAGCACAAACAGGTGAGTGAGAGTGCAATTCCTGACATTTTTACCTGGGATCTAGAGCTTTTGTCCTTCGTCAGTTGTTGTTGTTGTGTTTTTATCTGTTGTACATGTTTGGCATTGCAAGCCGACGTACTATGTCACGTCTCTCTTATCACCTCCGATGTACTGAACAATCACAAACGGCGTTTGTGTCACAAGTACAACATCGATCATACCATTAGCAGGAATACGCACACACCCAATCTGTTACCATGGCAACACCTACCCTTGATGCACACACACACACACACACACACACACACACACACACACACACACCGATGGGGCAGTGGACTAATGTATATGCTTTTTTATCAGCTTCTCATTCAAGCAATCATGTTAGTGTCACGCCGTGGCACAGCCAGACATGAGCGTGTGTGAACTGTCAACTAGCTGCCTTCACGCCACATAGCCACCAATATATCTATAATAAAACACTGCATGTTTGGTATCATATTATTTCACCGTTAATACAAAAATAATGCTGTCCTCTCACACTTGCTTTTTGCACCCGTACAGCTGAGAGACATGCAGAGCAGACTCACATGCAGAAGCACTGTGGCACAGACGGCTGTCGTCTGTGTGATGTACTGAAGTCTGTACCAACCAGTTTGACAGTTGCATCATTCGAATCATAGTGGTGGTGGTGCTGGTGGGGTTGGGGGGCTGCTCTGAAGTAAAAGCCTTTAAAATGCACATCAGATCTAAATCTGACGTGCATGTTCGCATAGTCTGAATTTAAGCTTTCAAAAGGGAATTTTACTCAGCATTCAACTCAGTCTGCCTTCTCAAAATATGAGTCAGGATGTCAAGGGTCCCCACAAGAGTAATCATAGCTTTTCATGAGCTTGAGTCCCAGGACCAGACTAAAGTTTGTCTTTGTCTACATTTAAAAAAGTTTGACAGCCTCCTTATTTCAGTGCTCCATAGAATTTGCTGAAACCAAACAAGTCATTCCCGATGGGTGGATAAAACAGGCTCTACCCTCAGTCTGTCCACCTGAGTGTGGTTTGTTATCTAAAGCTAGTCTATAGTCTATTACCATGGACAGATACACATACACCCCCAATCTATTATTGAACAAAAGGCTCACGCCTCCGCTCAGCCCTTCAGGGAGGAATCCATCCCTCCATCCCAGAATAATTTCACACATCAGTAGATACACAAAAGAGAGAGAGAGAGAGAGGGAGGAGGAGAGGGAAGGAAGAAAGGGAAGGACAGAGAAGAGGTGGAGGAGGAGGAGGAGGAGGAGGAGGGAAAAATGTATAGGGTCACAGCTCAGTGCTCGTGGGAGGCCAGGGTGTCGTGGGGAGCCATGTGTGACAAAACAGAGATCAGAGGATCATATGCAATCATGCACACGTGCAAGAAGACAAATGCACGCACACACACACACACACACACACACACACAAACCCACTTGCACAGAGATAGGCAAAGGTGAGAATAAGGACATATCAGATGAAGACTTGAAAAGATTGGGTCTGACTTAATCAGAGCCATCCTCTACCAAACACAGAATGCTAATCTCTTTATCTATCACACGCTCTTCTTATTCACACACACACACACACACACACACACACACACACACACACACACACACACTAAAGATAATCCTAATTCTACATGCAGACACAGACACAACAGCATGCAGAAACCCAACACCCAAACAGTGAGGATGAGGAAACACAAAACCAATTCTTGATTTTCTTATGCATAAGCATATGGAAATCAAGAGTTCTACAGAAAATCCCACAAAAGTATACACATACATGCTCACCCAAACACAGAGTGTGAACTACACACAGCATAATTACTGGGCATTTTTTAACACACCATAAGTCGATAACACATCACCACAGTTCATGAGAAAATCTAGACCAGAACAGTATTATACTTGAATGCACACAAACACACACACATATGGAGGGAATGCAACTAAATAAATAAATTGACAGCTGATTAGACTGGAAATCCCACGTCAAAAAAATGATGTTTCGCTACAATATGTGTTTGAGATACAAACCCTACATGTGTATAAAATTTGATGACCAATGATGATTTCAATTTCCAATATGCTGCTGATGAAAAATACTATACTTCTTGCAATTTCTGCTATACAGACAGATAAAAATCAACAAACAGGGGGAAAAAATCAATTCGTTTGTTGCAGCAGCTACAAAATAATCGACCGCAATAACCTGGAGCTGTGCACATCCCTAACAGACACACTCACACACACACATGCATAGGCCGAAACACATACACAGATTTAAATACATACATGCACTAGACGCACAGCGAGCGTACACACAGCTGAAAGCACAGAGCCAACGGAGCAGCAGACACAATGGAGTGTTTAAGCATGCAGGAAACTTTATGCCTGGGTGGAAGAGGAGCTTTGAAGGAATCCGCTGAGGGACACCCAACCTCCCCCTGAACTGAGCCTATACCTCCATCACAGAGAGAGAACCATGGATAGAGAGAAGGGGGGGATGAAAGATGAAGATAGAGAGGACTACATGGTAAGTTGTAAGGGAGATGGGTGGAGCGAAAAAGAGAAAGAGGGCAGGAGAGGGGGCAGCAACAATGTGCTTTGGTGTAGTTCCTTTGCATTGTGCACAATTGCTCTACGTTAGGCTGATGTGTGGAAGTCCCTAACCAGCAGTGGAACACACACACACACACACACACACACACACACACACACACACACACACACACACACAGCCTTTTCCTGTGAGCACACTGTTCAGTTGGTGCCATGCTTAACTCCCAATATGACCTTCATTGAGATGGATTGCATGAAAAATTTAATGACTTTCCTGAGAGAAAAACCACAGGCCAAATCAGCTTTGCATTGCATAACAATGCTGGACCTGGTAATCAATAACACAAACACACAAACACACATCCATAATGGAGTGCACAGCTCGCACATGGAGAAAATGTCTCAGCAGAGGCCAACCACATCACAATGGATAGCGCAAACCACCAGTGGAGAGCTGTGCAATGCATAAACAAGGAGCTATTGACGATAAATGCCTGCATCCATTTCCAGCCATCAAACACTTCCCTAAACTAACAGCTTAAGTCTGGAGCAACATGCAACTCTGAAGAGCTTTTCACACTCCAAATGTTTAACTCAGGGTTATCTGTGGTCCTGAGTAAAGTGTTACCCCAACCTAATTTGGCCCCATTTTACATTGTACCACTTAGCCCGCAGCACAATTTAAGTCATCTATTGTTCATGCTGCAAATATGATGCTAATTTTAGCCCAGAGCAGGGCAAACTTAGCCCTATATTAATGAGCGGTAGCCATGAGTTTGTGTGAAACCTTCAACGGTCAAAGCATGCTAAAAGTTCTAAAATGTGGTTAACATTAAGTAAAGTGAAGTGCAAAAAGCCCTCAAGTTACATTAACTCAACTTGCATGGTCACTGCTTGTGTTGTTCATACCTCACAGCTTTTCATATTTTCCTCTTTTTTGTTTTGTTGTGGAGGACAACATTACACAATGTAACAAGAGCATCACATATAACACAAAGCAGGGGAAAAAAGCAACTTTGAGCAGAAATGTGCCACAAATTTAACAGCTTTCTGTGGTTGCATAGCAACAACGCTTGGTTTGGATAACAATCTTTATCCTACTGACCACAGGGTTTTTGAACCCAGTAAAACTCAGCAGTGGAAACATTCAATCTGTAGCCTCATTTCTTGTTTCTTAGCCTCTAAGCCCTATATAGTTTTAGACCCAGGAGCCCCTGATTCCCACACCTTAACCCGGAGTTGTTTGGATTACAAAGCGAAATAGACAGCTATACCCCAAATGTGATGTACAATCAGTAGGATTTTTTGGCTGTGAGCTCAGGTTGCTGTAAATTTTTTATTTCTTGATGTCACAGTTTTAGGGTCTCGTAATGAAAAGCTGCCATTGTGTTTGTTTACCTCCTCTTCATCTCTCAATTTGACATTAGCTGGAGATGAGTCACCAGCAAAGAAAACACAGTTTGTTTCACCGTCACGGATATTTCCCTCCTGAGTGTCTCGTTCTCACCTCGTTGGTGTTCCAGCGATGGCGCTCCTTGGGCAGAGAGGAACATTTGGGCAGACACTCTAGCAGCTTCTTAGGAAGGTAGATCTTCAACTGGCCAGGCTCATCTGGAAAGGAAGGGGGTGTGGGGGAGGTGGGGGGGAGGATAAAGGAAGATAAATGAGGGACGAGTAGGAAGAGGAGAGAAATTTCTCAGCAGGCAGAGACATTGTGAGAGGAGAATACCAACACCCAGCATCTCTGTGATCGGGATGAATTAAATAATAACAAACTTTCATTGTGCAGCATTTTTCATGGCTTGATGTGACCTAAAGCAAGTGAATTTGCACATAGATTTGCTCTGGCCTATGAAGGACATAAGCTTTAATTGATCCAGTACTTGATCTGGGATGACTTACTGGGATGTCTAAATTTTTGGCAGAGCAGTAAAAAGAGATCTCAGGCTGGTACTTTGTATGGATCAGTAATTATGTTATTCCAAATCAATGAAAGAGGAGAAAGCCAGGAAATTGCACTGCAACTATGTTTAATATTTCCACGTCATCTTCATATAAATGTCTCTTATTATATCTTATCCACTTATGGGTGATTCACAGTGATGTAGCGTGGTTGATAATCTTGTCGACCAAGGTACAGGGTACAAACAACAGCTAAGAGTGCAGTGCGCAGAGGAAGGTGCAGCACACTTATTTTTGGACGGCAGGTGGAGGTGCACAGAGCACCCGGGGCACAACTGGCAACAGATTTGGATTAAGAAGAAGCCATTATCATACATTATCAGTGCATTTGGGGTTTGTAACATTCATGGCCAATCACATGGGCATCTCTCATCCCCTTTAAAAGCAATGCGTTCCCCCACAGTGTTGTACAGACAGTTTGGTAATGGAGTAGAGGCTCCAGACTTGCTCCTCCTGAGAGTAAACTACCGGAGAGTCGCAAGTGCAAATGTACAGCAGACAAAGTGTTGCTATGGGGTTTAGTTTGAAGATGAAATCATGTTTCTGGACATACTGAAAGTCCCGGGAGCATCATGTTTCCAGCGCGTAATGATGCACTAGAATCTTAATCATCCACATGCCAATCACAGGTCAGGTAACATAAGGTTGGTAACCTTTCCCTCCTTTACATTACTGCCTGGAGATATAAGTCTGGAATATTATATACTTCTTATTATTGACAAATCCCATAAAAATACCAGAATCAACAATGAATTTATGCTACAAACAAGAATAGCCTATATAGCTTATTCCTCTCTGCCGTGGACCTCTTTTGCTTTCCAAAAATGCTTAGTTGTTCACATCAGAAAGCCACCCTGTTGCATTGGGTAACATATTTCTTCATTAGGATGAACATGGGTACAGCAGTTTATTTTGAGTCAATCCCACATACACTGTTACCTGCTGCTTTGAATACTCGTTAGAGCACCAAATCCAGAGCCGGAAGTACTATTTTAAATGTAATTATATATTGTGACTGGTGTTTAAAGTCTTTTAGCCACAGACAGGACAGAGAAGTATTTAAGTATTAAGAGACATAATAACATATTGTTGGATTTAGTCTTTTCATGGGATTTGTTGACAATGACAAAAAATATAGCCAGCCTTATCTGTTAATTGAAAAAACTTTTTTTTCTCCAGTGTAATACGATATGTGGAGAATGTATAACAAAACAGGAAAGTACAACATGAATAATGGAGGTTTGTGTCATGTTGGAGTGAGCTATAAGAGTGTACCAACACCAAAGCTACAGTATATGATGCTGCTGGATTAAAATTGCCCCTACTGCTCCTCTCCTGCCACTGTCGTGCACCCGTCGTGCAAAAAATCCCACTGCGCCTCAGGAAAATCCCACTTCACCAGTGCATAGCGTCCACACAAAGATAGTGTTTGTGAGTGTGTGCCCAACGGGTGTGCTGCTCAGAAGTCAAAAAGAGCAAGCACTCAAAGGTTATTGATAAGCATTTGAGTAGAGGGCGTCCATTCATGACTCCCCTGGGAAGATAGGAATTATACTCTACCTGAGGGCAGATGACAGAGGGAGAGAAAAAGAGTGATAGGTGGGGTGGGAGGGTCTGAGCGAGAGACAGAAAGAGGTAGAGACACTATGAGCCAGAGAGAGACAGAAGAATAAAAAAAAACTTGAGGATCAAAAGAGAAGATTTAGAAAGTACGAAACTTGCAAGGACAAGAGATGGAACAAGGTAACACAAAGACGCAAAGAGAAAAAAGTACTGTAGCGGGACAGGAGTGGGCTCTATGTGTGTGTGCTCCAGTGAGTGTGTTGGTGTCTGAGCATGTGTGTGTTTGTGTCAGTAGGAAGAGTGTTCAGGCACGTATGCTCCCCCTAATCAATTATGCATTTATTAATAGAAGGCCTGAGAAGACAAAATTTCAAACAGCTGAACGGTGCAGCAGCTTAGTTAAACAGCTGAATGGTGCAGCTTAGTTAAAGCCTAATTTCTTTTTTAGCAGCACTCCAGCCTCTCTGCTATGAATGCCAATCAGCGTTTAAACCCCACCCCTCCTGGCTATAACCCCCTACCCTCCCCCTGCTGTTCTGAAGAATTCTCATCAGAGCCTCGTCTTTGAAATGTACCAGAACCACCACATCAAACAAGCCCAATGCACATGCGTAGGCACACACACAAACACCCGCATGCACATGCACGCTCACACATGCAAACAGATACACACATACACACACAGGGTCTGCCGATCAAAGAACGAACATCACAGTATTTGTCCCAGAGTGGTGTTTCTTTACCAGTGACCTTGGTACCGAAATCCCTTTCAAAGCACACCTTCATGGGCACGAACATCTTAACCTATCGTCACGTTTACTCTCCCCGCTGACGAGGAATGGAAGACAAAACTTTGCAGATTTGTTGAATGCTGATGAGCTTTTACACCCCAAAGGGTTGTATCTTGTATTTCTAACAATCCTGAACCAGAGAATGCGTCCCTGTTTTAAGAAATTCAGCCTGGGAACTGTCGCAATCGTCTTTTCCATCTGTTCCAAATGGCTCTCAGTGGAGCTGTACTATGGTGTGACATGGGGCAAAAACTTCTCTTTTGTTTCTGGCTACCCAGGAAAATGAACCACCCTGAGACACGGGGAAAACACATCTAAATATGGAAATTCGGCATTGCTCACATTCATATTTGTATTTCAAATAATAAAACCGTTTCAATCCCTGCATTGCTTCTTGCGTCCCTCAGCAGCAAGCCACAAATTCTGGCTGTACATAGATCACTCACTCAGTTGCTAATCTAGTAAAAAGAGTCCATAAGAGTGACAAAGCCTGAATGCTAATGTGGAACTGCTGGCTCATTAAGTCATATAGAGGTATTCATGCTAAAAAGTAAAAATGTTCGACCAAAGTGAAACATTGCTTTGGTAGCCTATCAAATGCCATAATTTAGACTGGAATCACACAGAAGGGCAGCCTCCGACTGATGAATATTTTACCTCATAAAACTGTCATCTCCATATTTAACACAGAAACAAGCCAATGCCCTTGTGAGATGGCTGTCAGTTAATTATAAAACTCTCCTCAGTAAAGAGAGAGGAAAATGCTCCAAATGCAACTCTTAACTCTCCCGCTACTGATATTAGGAGGCGTCGGGGGAAATTTTCACATTTTCCCCCTTTTCGCGATGAAATTAATGTGACAGAAAGAAAGGCTCATTGCACAGAAGCTAGATAGAGGGTTGGGAGGGAGGGCAGGGGGGAGAGCCAGGGCAGGGAGAAGAAAGGGGGGAGCATAGCATGGGATAAGCGAGAATGCAGGGGGGGTGAGAGCAATGGGCAGAGGTGGGTGTGGGTGTGGGGTGGAGTGAGAGATGGGCGTGCATGCTAATTTTATCATTCTGCTGATAAACTTTTCCTCCAGTAATCCTCCAGCTGGGACGTGAGAACAGATAGGAGACAGGGATCGACTCGGGAAGTCTCAGCTCATATTAAACAGCCGTCCCAAACAGAACTCTCTGTTCTATGTTATTGTTTTTCAGATTTTCTGTAAATTCTTTATTTGCTATTTTTTTGACAGTCTTGTTGCCTCTCATCCCTCTTAACAAAATAAGAGGGTCTGGTGCAGGTATGAGGCCATCTGCTCCCTTTGAAATGAAAAAGGGGGGGAGTTTGCACATACCTTCCCCCTCTATACCCATAACCCCCACCAGCACCTCACTAAGCAGCGTGTCTGCCTGCTCCTCCTCACATCTGTTTACTTTCCTCCAATTTGTCTCTCTAACATACACGCACACACATGGAGGCAGAGACATGCGCCTGCATCATGTCCTCTGAAATCAATAACCAATCAAAACAATCATTGCCTTTATAGTCCTTCTAACACACCGCAGCAGTCACACACATGCCCACTCACACGCATACAAGACCACGGGGCGACCCAGATTACACACTCCATCTCACCTCTAGTTTAACCAGGCCCATTGAGGATTATAAATACATAATGTCATATGTACAGATTAGGTATGACAATAAACTCCTGATAGCCAAAGTAAGCTGGCCTTCTCTATGACTATGTGCAGTAGTGTGTGTGTGTGTGTGTGTGTGTGTGTGTGTGTGTGCGTGCCCACTAATACTGTACTGACATGCATGAATAAACATGATGTGTAACAGAGCTGAATTGGAACGACGTCTCAGCAGAGACACACAGAGATAGAGTGTGTGTTTGTTGTGTGTGTGCGTGTGTGTGTAAGTGTGATCTGTTACAGAGCAGATGAGAAGGAGACCTCAGTTCCCGCATCACATCATTCTGCCAGAAGGCTTTTATACTTGCTCCCAGAGTCACCCTACGCTACAGACAAATGTGCGCGCACACGCACAAAGAATGTGAAGTGTTTGTGTGTCTCTTACTGTTGGCGTCAGTGTCGTCACTCTTGGGAGGGGTGTGTCCTGTGTAACCAACAGCGATCCTGACCATTCGCTCTGGATTTCTTATCTTCTTCAGTCCTAGAAAGAGAGAAAGGCAGCAAGACAAAGACATATTTAGGAGAAGCTCCAGACTTTGGTTTCCTTGGCAGTCGCACACCTCACCTCATTCTTCCTCCTCTAAAGCCCAGAAACAAAAACTCCAAGCGATATGCATGTGGGCTGATCCATTTTCTGATCCACTAACTTGTATCCATTGTGTCCCCTGATCGATTGGCCACAGTAGATTCGCTGCCTCCATGTGTGTGACTAACTTGTACCCAGTTTTAGTTTCTCTCTTCTCTCATGATTTCTGTTTCCCTGACCACTGTTGCTATGATACAAAGTAGACCAACCGGCACAGAGGGAGATGGTCTTCCACGCTATATGGTGGATGTTGTTCTCATGCCCACTAGTGTACTCGCAAACACATCTGCCAGGAGACGGGATAGCTGTCTCCTGCCTTCGTTGCCCCTGCGATTCACTTGGCCTTCATTCAGCACGGCTTTGGCTCGTAAATTATTATGTCCTCCATACACGTAACACTCACATGGACAGAAACCTGTCATTCTGTGAACACGCGAGTCTGTCTGTGTGTGTGTGTATATACAATACGGGCAGGGGGATGGTTTTATACTTCAGTGGTACATAGCCTGCTGATCGGCCCATGGGCCATCTGTCTCATCTACATGTTCTTGTGTTTTCACGCAACGGGACTCTCAACCCACGGCCTTTCCCTTTGCCTCTGGCTAAACTCTGCATGCTTGCCTACAAGATTGTGTGTATGCCTGTGTCGCCTGCACGCTTGAAAATGTGGTTCACAAATGCATGACACTACTGGTGTAGTACAAGTTATCCAAAAATTGCCCGTTTAGAAAAAAATGTTGCTCGGCATCGCTCCCTAGTGGAGAGAAGGTCAAAGACTCCTCCTGTCATTTTCAGTATCACTTTGCTGAGGAAAAACATCAGAAGAATCGATTAAGAACAGTCTAATAATAAAGCTGATGTCTACAGCAACATTTGTGCTGTATGTCATTTTATCTCTTAAGGTGCTGAGGAACTGCGTGTCATCCGTAACAACACATTCAGCTGTTGTGTTTACTGGCTGGACGGGGATGTATGATATTTTAAATGCAGAAAAGAAAAGGGTACTTAGAGCAGAGTGACATAGGGGGGATGTTTATAAACAAACGTCAAACACACTGAGTAAGGAATAAAGATTTCATTAACCCATGAGTTGAGATGGAGATAATATTGGCATTGTGCTTTTTGGTCATCCTTTAAATAATTCATGAATGAAAGAATAACAGTGTGTGTGACTATAATAACCCCAGGAGTTTAGCTGAGGTAGTAAAAATGTAAACTAGATCCATACATGATATGACCTAAAACTGACACCCCCCCCCTTTCTCCTCCTCCTCTTCCTCCCTCACCAAATTCAGCCGATTCTCACCTTCACAGCCTTCGCAACCATAAGCACACACATCAACACCAAATGAACACAAACATGAACACACACACCAATACTGGATTGTGACTAAATAAATGCACATCGGGTCTGGGATGTTGCCTGTCTGTCAGGGAAGGAAATCTACGATTCACTGGATTATTTTATGCTTAAAGAGAGAGAGAGATAAACACACACACACATACACAGAAAGCATCTGAATTCCTTCAGCGTGAACCACTCTCGTCCTCTCTCATCCCCATCCCTTTTATGCTAAACGCTTTAAAAGCACTCATACACCAGCTACTCAGGGGGAAACGCTGGCAAGCACTGGACGGTGAAAAACTACCCTATCCCGACTCGCTCAGAGCCCACCGACAGGACAACTCTCCTTCCGTTATTTATATGCTGTCGGTTAACCGTGCTCCACACAGTCGCTGGTTCAGCACCAGCGTCGCTGTTTTCGGGACGGGCTGGAAGAAAGGGAAAGCCCTGCCGTTATCTCTCTCCCGCTCTATGCCTCCGTCCCTTCATCGCCTAGTCTGAACCCCGAATAGCGGGACTCTGCCACCTCAAATAAAAACCGTTATTTCTCTCTTACCTTCCGGCTTGTTTTCGGCAGCCATTTCCCCTCCGCCGCGCGCCTCATCCCTCCTCCTCCTCCTCTTCCTCCTCCTCCTCCTCCTCGACTCGACCTAGTGGTGGTGGAGGTGGTGGTGGAGGGGTGGGGGTGGACCACGCGCGTGCACAGAGAGGACAGCTCAAGGAGGGGGCGGGGCTGAGAAGAAGGGATGGGTGTGGGGGGGGAAGCGAGCCTGCCGCGTTCAGCGAGACTATTGGTCCAAACGGTGAAGACTGACAGCGGGGATCCGTGATGGTGACTCGCGGAATTCTCCATCCCTCCGTTTATACCTCCGTTTGCCCCGCCCCCCCCTCCCCCCCTACGTACACGCGCACTCCTCCTCGCTCCCTCTCTCCTCTCACGTCACCGAGCGACGTCTGTATTCGAGGACACCTTGACAGCCTCCCACAGCATCATCATCATGCTCATCATCGTCTTCTCACACACGCACACGCGCGTAAACCTACACACACAAACACGGTACGCGCGCGCACACACACACACACGCTGATACAAAGGCGCGCGCTCATTTCTTCACACGCAAACCCAGTGGGCTGTTGAGAAAATGCGATGTAAGGTCGCGTCCCACCATGAATTATGAACTCCTCTCGAATCTAAATGAAAAGAGCCGCCTGTGAGAGACTTTTCAGACGCGCGGTTTGGGTTTTGAGTTCAGTTCATGGTGCTGTCTTTCTGCTGTGGTGCTGGAGCTCGCGGTGCTGAAAGGACAGCTCCACGCGCCTACACAGGCTGTGCGCACCTGCTTTCTTTGAGCCGTGTTATTGAATTTGAGTGACGATCAGATCAGGTGAAAACTTACAGGATCAAATGAAAAACATGCCATTCGTCTCTACTTGCTGTTGCATATTTTGGCTGTATAGCAGGAAACCGTGGTCTCATTGCTGTAATATCCCTAAGGGAAGTTAAGTTTATAACGAGCCTATCACAATAATATCACTGATAGCCTACTACCGGTTTATACGCTTTACCCTTCTAAATAGTGCGGCTTAACCGGGACCATTCTTGTTTCAAACCCACACTGTCACTCGGTGCTTCAGGGTAGAATATCGTCTTTGCACCAAAGCCTTGTGTTTGCCAGAGACAATCCTCTCCCGTAGACACGCTTCACTGAAAACTGAGGTTCTGAATGGTTCGTCTTCAGCTATGTGTAGGCTTTGCGTCACCTCTGAGAGGCACACAAGGTTCCTGGCATCGACAGAGTTCAAGAAGGATGCAAGACGATAAGGAACATGATATGTAGCCATAAAAAAACCCAGATCGATTTAATTTAACCCCCTTGTCGTTGTCCCGTGCATGTTGATGTATGCACAAACAAGATAATTGTCATTTCATATGAATAAAGCTGTAGCCTACAATTAATGGAGCTTTTTCTTTACAACTTTTAAATCAAACTATATATAAATATAGTACTAATCTCTTATTAGGCTATATCACTTCAGTATCTTATAATTTTGAGCTATCTGTAGCCTACTTTACTCAAGTATTTCCAATGTATGACAAATAATTTAGAATGGTCTAATAATAAACTGATGTCCACAGGAAATATTCAGCACCTTGTGTCATTTTAGCTCTGAAGCTGATGTGTCTTATTCATAACAACACAATACTGTAGCCTACTTTTTACTCCACTACATTTATCTGACAGCAGTTATTGGTAGCCTACTTGTTGGATTAAATTTTTCATCCAAAAAATGGACATCTAAAATAATATACATGTTTATAGATTAAGCAACCTAACAGTATTTGTATTTGCTCCACCATGACTAGCAACAACATTAAAAGGCAGCCTATGTGATGATGCATCAGTAAGAACATCCTAAAAGGTGATTGGTGGAAAATGGTTTCAGGTCCTTTACTAAAATAAAATATTATATGCATACATAATAAGCATGGCAGGCTATGCATTCAAAAAGTTTATCAGCAAAGTATTATCAGAATATCTTCAGCATCCTGTCAGTGTTATTTCATTTATGATGTTTCTGAATTATAATTACTGTTGCATTACCATGTGAGCAGCATTTTAATATGTTGGCCCATAGGAAGCAAATTTAGTTTCATTTAGTAGTTCAAATAAAAATGCATAGTCTACTTTTCTAAAACCTGATATGTTTTGTTTGTTAAAATCTGAGTATGCAAAATAACTACAGCTGTCAGATAAATGTAGGAGTAAACAGTGCAATATTTCCTACAGAAATACAGTGGAGTATAAGTATAAAGTAAGTAAATAATGACTGCATAATGACAAACTACTTTATTTGTAGGCTTATTGAGTAGATCACACAAATTATTCCTAATTTAATTTGTGTAATCAAATTACCACACATCAAATCTGGGGAAAGGTAGTACTCCAGGAGTAGTGTACAAAATCCAGAGTGAGGGGCAGAAACGAGGCATTAATGGGGGCCCAGCTCGTATTTTCTCCATGGAGATTAAGATTACAGATTCATGTATTGTGCAGGAAGGAAAGGGGAAACACAGTTTGACTCAAGAGTTAATATGCAGTAAATGGAGAACAGCTGGTGTTGAACTGTTGGCAGTGGAATAGTTTATAAACTGCTTAAAACACACCAGGTAGGGTTTTTACAATTGTTCCGCAAGCTAACTTTAGTTAAACGGTCGTATTAGTTGTTCAGCCAATCAGCATTGAGAATCGGTGTCAACTAGAGGAGACGGCAGTCTACCGCTTGTTTGTTATTTAGTGAGAAAGAAAGCAAAGTAAAAAGACAGAATAGGCCGTTTAGGACGGTTTTACAACTTACAAATACAATACCTTCTAAAGACAAAACACTCCCCACAACCGTCTGCCTTCTTGTATGGAGAGGTCAGAACTCTTTCCCGCTGAGCTAAAAAAACAAACCAGCAGAGGGCAACAGAACGACTTCCGCTCCTCGTCTGGCTGACCAATGAGCTGGCAGAGCACTGAAGGAGTGGGCGGGAGCGTGCCAAACGCAAACATGGCGGCGTCCTTAGATGATGATTTTGAGTTTAATAATCAGGACTACTACTCTCTACTCAACGTCAGGAAAGAGGTATGGTTTATTTGTATTTATTTATTCTGTTTTACAGTGACGCCAGACGGCGACGGACCTTTCGCCATGACTGCCGGGTTGATTTCCGTTGTGAAAGTGGTCTGCAGTCGGTGCATCATCCTTCAGCTGAATAGCGGTCTTCTTCTTCATCAGCACCATCAGCCGTGGAGACCGGTTGATGCTGCAGATTCATGAACAAGCAAGATATTTCAGCGTTCACTTTACTTGAATGCAGGCAGTGTTTCCAAGATATTATGTCTGCATCGATGGGCACCTTCATAAATGTTAGCTGTCATTAAACTAGGGAGACTGAAAGGCCTGACAAGGACTTGTACTTGGACGTTGACCTGGATAACGTTAGGTAGCATTGGGTGGTTACTGAGGCAGACACCATAGCCTGACAGGAAGTAAAGTATCACACCTTTAATTCCTTGTTTAACGTCAGTGGACGGGTGTCTGTTTTTTAATCTCTTTAAAAATAGGAAGCTTTAATGCAGCAGTGTTGTGTCAGCACCCGGGAGTGGAGTGAATAATGATAAGTTGTTTAATCGATTAGTCAGTTAAGTGAAAACAATCTTCAACAATTTTGATAACCAATTATTTTCAAGTGAAGAAACTGAACTGTTGTTGGGATAAAAAAAAAATAGCACCTCACATTTAATCGGTTAATCAACAAAGTATTTGGCAGATTAATTAAATTAAAAAAAAACAAACAAATGTTAGTTGCTCAGGAGTGAGGCCTGTCCTTCCTCATGTGACAGGCTACATTGGAAGAGTTAAAGGCATCATATCGGAGGCTGTGTATGCTCTACCATCCTGACAAACATCGAGACCCAGAGCTGAAAAGCCAGGCCGAACAGCTCTTCAACCAGGTGCACCAGGCATATGAAGGTAAGGACGCATGCAGGTACACACCAACTGGAAGTTAAAACATTTAGTTCAACATTTTTATTGCATTTCTACGTGGGAAAAAAATACAGATGAAATCAAAAACATCAAGACAAAAACACAAAACATCTACATAAACTTAACCGTTATTCCTCTATTTCCCCTCAGTGCTGAGTGATGCTCACTCCAGAGCCATCTATGACATCTTTGGAAAGAAAGGGCTGGAGGTGGAAGGCTGGGAGGTATTTATTCTGTCCAACATACCATTTGTCTTAAATTTTAGTGGTTTTGCTGCTACATTATACATACAGTGTTAACATGTCCGCACTACCAAAATTTCATGGTGATGATGCCGTGTAGGTGGTGGAGAGGAAGAGAACTCCAGCAGAAATCCGAGAGGAATACGAAAGGCTGCAGAGAGAAAGAGAAGAGAGGAGACTGCAGCAAAGAACTAACCCCAAGGTCTGAATCACAGCTACTGTTAACTTCACTACTTTCACTGTATGTCCTGTGTGGGATTAATTCCTTCAATCTGTCCCCTTCACTCCTTCTTTATTCAGGGAACCATCAGCGTGGGTGTGGATGCAACAGACCTGTTTGACCGCTATGATGAGGACTTTGAAGAGATGCCAGGAGGAGGGTTTCCTCATATTGAAATCAACAAGATGCACATTTCCCAGTCCATAGAGGTGCAACAAAACACTCACGTAGAATTTGCCTTCCACACAGCTGCTTACGTGGGCCAGAGTCACTGTAGTGTTCTCTGTTTTATCAGGCGCAACTTTCCTGTCTTTCTTCAGGCTCCGTTGACGAACTCTGACACAGCAGTGCTCTCTGGTTCGCTATCTACACACAATGGGAACGGAGGGGGCAACATTAACATGACCGTACGAAGGGTTACGTCAGCCAAAGGCTGGGGAGAGGTACACACACCAACACATGTACACAAACTACCATATACAGTATCTCACAAAAGTGAGTCCACCCCTCACATTTTTGTAAATATTTGATTATATCTTTTCATGTGACAACACTGAAGAAATGACACTTTGCTACAATGTAAAGTAGTGAGTGTACAGCTTGTATAACAGTGCTAATTTGCTGTCGTCTCAAAATAACACATCACACAGCCATTACTGTTATCTCTCTCTAAGTGAAAATGTCAAATTGGGCCCAAAGTGTCAATATTTTGTGTCGCCACCATTATTTTCCAGCACTGCGTTAACCCTCTGGCATGCTTGGCCAGTCTATCACCTTTACCCTCAGCTTCTTTAGCAAGGCAGTGGTTGTCTTGGAGGTGTGTTTGGGGTCGTTATGTTGGAATACTGCCCTGTGGCCCAGTCTCCGAAGGGAGGGGATCATGCTCTGCTTCAGTAACAGTACATGTTGGTATTCATGGTTCCCTCAGTGAACTGTAGCTCCCCAGTGCCGGCAGCACTCATGTAGCCCCAGACCATGACACTCCCGCCACCATGCTTGACTGTAGTCAAGACACACTTGTCTTTCTACTCCTCACTTGGTTGCCACCTCACACACACTTGACTCCAACTTTCTTGTGCATCATCTTTAGAAGAGGCTTCCTTCTGGGACGACAGACATGCAGACAAATTTGAAGCAGTGTGTAGCATATGGTCTGAGCATTGACAGGCTGACCCCCCCACCCCTTCAACCTCTGCAGCAATGCTGGCAGCACTCATACGTCTACTTCCCAAAGACAACCTCTGGATGTGACGCTGAGCACGTGCACTCAACTTCTTTGGTCGAGCATGGCAAGGCCTGTTCTGAGTGGAACCTGTCCTGTTGAACTGCTGTATAGTCTTGGCAACTGTGCTGCAACTCAGTTTCAGGGTCTTGGCAATCTTCTTATAGCCTCGGCCATCTTTATGTAGAGCAACCATTTTTTCAGATCCCCAGAGAGTTCTTTGCCATGAGGTGCCATGTCCAACTTCCAGTGACCAGTATTAGGGAGTGTGAGAGCGATAATACCAAATTTAACACAACTGCTCCCCATTCACACCTGAGACCTTGTAACACTAATGAGTCACATGACACCGGGGAGGGAAAATGGCTAATTGGACACAATTGGGACATTTTCACTTAGGGGTGTACTCAACAGCAAATTTACACTGTTATACAAGCTGCACACTCACTACTTTACATTGTAGCAAAGTGCAATTTCATCAGTGTTGTCACATGAAAAGATATAATCAAATATTTTAAAACATGTGAGGGGTGTACTCACTTTTGTGAGATACTGTACATGCAATTTATAAAGCATAGACATAAACTACAACCTATACAAGCATGTTGTTGAAGAAGCATTTTGAATATGCTTTGTGTTAAATGTTAGTCTAGGATAATACAGATTTATTTTGTACTTGTGGCACAGACTTGCCTGTCTACAATCACTTGTTTCTGTGCAGGTGGAATTTGGTGCAGGAGACATACTTGGACCTCTAATTGGGTTAAAGGTGTTTCGCAACCTCACTCAACGGTGGTAAGCCCTGACTGTTTGATATAGGGAACTTAAGTACATAGTGTATTAACAACTGGCTTCCTGTCTCTTTAATGTTCTCTCTTGTTATCACCGCTCTATTATATCTCCGTCCAGTTTCTTGACAGCCCAGTGCGGCTTGCAGTTCTCCCCTCGAGGTTTGCGGCCAAGCTGTTCTCTGATGACGGCACGCCACCTGGATCAGAACACCATGGGTTATCTGCAGTGGCGCTGGGGACCCAACAGCGCCATGACCACCAGCCTGGTCCGCGACACAAAGAGCAGCCACTTTACTCTAGCTCTGCAGGTACACACACAAACATAACCCCAAGCACAAATGCATATACGCTGTTTGTAGGCCGGCATATGCAGTACACATCTACCTGCTGTCAGCATGGTAAGTATGGTTTGTGTACTGTAACTGAAATTTTACTTGTGCATCCTGTGTTACTTCACTCCCAACCTCACCCCTTCCAGCTGGGTGTGCCTCACTCCTACCTGATGATGAGCTACCAGTACAAGTTCCAGGATGAGGACCAGACCAAAGTTAAAGGCTCTGTGAAGTATGTTTGTCTGCTTACCTTGCCAGTTGCCTCAGAGGACTTCTCTGTAAGTCCACTGCTTTACCTGGAAGGCGCTCTGCGAGAGTATAGCTATGCAAAAAAAAAACAAAAAAAAAAAACATTCTAATGATTAGCTGATGGGATTTCCTTACTTAAAAGAGCAACAGCTGTAAACAGTGCTTTTCTGCCTGGTATTAAGTTATTCGTAAGTGACTAGAAGGAGTTTTTTGATTTGAAAATTTTCTTGTTTATTGCAAGAAAATTGTGAAATGATTGTGACAGAATGGGCTTTCTACTTAAGACTGTAAAAAGTTTTATAATTACATCAAAACAGTTTGTCTTTTCAAATCCTAGTTAGGTCAAGATCAAAAAAATATATTGTTTAGTGATCATTGACCTTACATATTAAACATCCTATATCACTAAACATGTGGCTGCACTTTTCTAAAAATAATAATAGTTGCATTGCAAAGCACATTTTCAAGAAAGAAACGCAAAGTGCTTCCAAGTGTTAGGAAAATGACAGAACATAAAAAGAGCTGCAGGAGATAAAAAACAGCATGCAACAAAGGGGAAATAAAGGAGTAAACACTAAAAACAAAACGTTTATAAATAATTTATAAATAAATGTAAAAGGCAATTTAACAGTAAAAGTTTTAAAGACAAAACATTTTCATCTCCAGTTGTTCTGGCTGGATAATTCACTGTCCCACTCTGCCTGTGTTATTGTCATCAGTAGCTGCGTACCTCTCATCATTTATTTTCTTCTTCCAGGACGGGCTGGTTTGGTACTGTGGTGGAATACGGAGCAGAGAGGAAGATCAGCCGACACAGTGTCCTGTCAGCCACTGTCAGCATCGGGGTCCCTCAGGGAGTCACGCTCAAAATCAAGTACTGGCCAAACCCAAACTATGATCTCATTCTCCAGTGGGTCCTTATCTCACTGCGTCATTATCTAATGTGTGTGTGTATTTGTGCTGGTGTTTGCTTGCAGGTTGGCACGTGCCAGTCAAACGTACCTGTTTCCAGTCCACCTAACAGATCAGCTTCTACCCAGTGCGGTCTTCTATGCCACCGTGGGACCCCTTCTGGTCTACATGGTCGTCCACAGACTGATTATCATCCCATATACGCAAGCACAGAAAGAGCAGTCAGTACATGTTCTGTCCTCGTAACCTCACATTTTAATCTGACGCTCAATTAACATCAAACTAATTTTAACATCATATTTTGTACGAGTTGGGAAGAAATGCAACATTTTGGTTGTGGGTGTCTTTAATACTATCTGGGATATCACTGTCATCACAGAGAGCCCCCACAGTGAATCCCAGTGGGTGACTGTTGATGTCTGCTTTGTGTGTCTCTGTGCCTCTCAGAGAGCTGGAGCTGCAGAGGAAGAGCTCAGCCACAGACATCGCCAAGAAGAAGCAGGAGGCAGAGTCTGCCGTGAGTACTCACACGCACATGCCAACGCACAGTTATTCATTGTGTGTGGGGATCATTGATCATTGTTTCTAGCTCTAGCACTCCTCATCTCATCTGAAAAAAACCCTCTCCTATCCTATGCTATTTTGTTCTCCTCCGCCCCTCCTCCTCTTTCTCCCTCGGCTCCTCGACAGGTTCTGCTGATGCAGGAGTCTGTGAGGAGAATCATAGAAGCGGAAGAATCCAAGATGGGTGAGGGAACACACTCGTACACACCAAAAGATTGAAAAACTGAGAACCTTTTTTAAGTTTGCAGCAATTTTGGTAAATATCCAAGTGTGTAATTCGAACACATATTTCTTGTAGCTGCTGTTAACTGCGTAGCACACTGTAGCTTCAGGGTTGAGTTTGACTTCCTTCATCTACTGCTGTGAAGCAAGTGATGATGATGGAGCCCATTTCTATGCTGTAGTGTTTACATAGGTTAAGCATACAAGTCTGTGCACAGAACACCAGAATGTACGCTGGCATAATTCAAAACTATGATTTGAGTGTGCTAATGGATTTCCTGTTTTGATTGTGTAGGGGGTGCATGTGGTTATTTGAGGAGTCGCTGTATGGGATGTGTTCACACCAACTAGATGGTCTGTCCAAGAAGTAGATGTAGAAACTGCTATATGGTACTGGTATCAAGCTAACGTAGCGGTTGTGACATAGGACTCGTATTCACTGTTATTCTGTGCATTATTCCAGTCTGTCTGTACTGCTCTCTGTTTTAAAGTGAACTTCACAATTCATATATATGTGTATATATAGGTCACACTTAACAGTTACACTCTATATTACTATCTAGGCCTGATCATCCTGAATGCCTGGTATGGAAAGTTTGTGTCGGACACCAGCCAGAAGCAGGAGAAAGCAAAGGTCATCGACGTCACTGTGCCTCTGCAGTGCCTGGTCAAGGACTCCAAACTCATCCTCACCGAGTCCTCTAAGGTGCGTGCATGTGTTCACATGTCAGCGAGTCTATTTGATTACCTGCAATTCTGTATGCATTGCATGTGAGCTCTTTCTCTGTGTGCAGGCAGGGTTGCCGGGATTCTACGACCCCTGTGTAGGAGAGGAGAAGAGTCTCAAATTACTGTACCAATTCAGAGGCGTCATGCACCAAGTGATCTCTGCAGACGCCGAGTCGCTAAGGATACCCAAGCAATGTAAGTGTGCAGTCGCTTCACCTAAGACCTTGTATTATTACAATATAGCTGCACACTAATTACAACATGGCGAAAGTCTACAATATATGCATGTATCCATGTTCAATTTATATATCTTTTGTCTTTTCAGCTCACAGAATTGATTCTGAGTCCTAGGAGCCCACCACCGTTGGGAGCACAAGAGGGCAAATGCAGATAAAAACAGACTTTGTGTACACAAAAGAACAAATGGAGGAGACACATCAACAATTAGTCTGTTTCTCTCCCTCTGGTCCTCTCCTGTCATGATATTAGTGAGTCTGTTCATCGAGTTCCTCCACTCCTCCCTTTCCTGTGGGCCGACAGAATACAGGAGTCGGCTCAGTTTCTACAAGGCTGTTACCCTTTGTGTCTCTTAGTCTGCTACAGCTGACAGGGCTGCTCAAATTATCTGCCTGCTGCAAGAGATCAGACATTGGCCCTGAAAATAGTTTTATATATGCACTACTACAGAGGAACATGGTGAAAGTGCACAGATAAATTTAAACATGTTTCTTGGCATGTGTTAAGTCAAGTATATACAAATGAGCTGTGTTGTAGTTTTATCACATATCACTGTAGTCTTCAGTGTGTGTGTGTGTGTGTGTGTGTGTGTGTGTGTCACCCTGGTAGTTTGAATCGAATAATGTCATAACATACCAGTCATGTCACCAACTCGTGCAAATATTTAGTATCACTGCAGGATCGTGTCTCAGTGACTCTGAGGCAGGCCAGGACTAAGGAGTGATTGTGTTACTTGTATTTTTGTTGAAATTTCTCATCCTTATTTATTATGCCTTTTAGTGACATGTCTGCTGCTCATGAGGGTGCCAGTCAGCAGGGGTAAAATGGTGCTGAAACTTACATCTGTGACGGTTGATGGGGGGGGGGGGTTGCGATAGGCCGATAGAGATGCCCTTTGATGGTTCCGATCCAACCAGTGAGACAGGCTTGAAGTCTTCATACAGATTTTTTAATATCTCAGGCTAGACTGCAATTTAAAGGCAGAAATTCCACTTAGACTTGAGTTAATTGATTATATCTGTGCAGTTGCAGCCAAAACAGAATTTCTTAGTATGATTTTTAATACACTGAAGGTTATAGTTTGTATTTTACTAAGAATTTATGGCTGGGTTGCGACCAGTTGGTCAACTCTTAAAGTCATGAAGGCTCAGCGCAGTGATGTTGACATTTGGAAATCTAGTATCCTATGTTGTACTAGAAGTACAGTAAATTTTTAATATCAAATGCACATTACAACTGTGAACCCAACATTTAATCAAGACTTTATTCTATGTTCTAAACTGTTTATGTGTTAGTAGTTGTTAAAAGTGGATTTCCACTGGAACCACAAAGGGAAACATGAAAGAGCGAGAGTTAGTAAGTTACTCCTCATTTTGTTGGGGGGATCCCTGAAAACACTATTAAACTGTAGCATACAAATGGCATTTTATTAAATACAAAAGTAATATTTTGCACACAAGGCATTTACAAGACATATTAGAGGCTTGTCATGAAAGTGGTGCTGAAGCCTGTAACTGAAGCTGTACGCTTTTACTGAACTCCAGAGTTTGCATTGAAGAAGTGCTGACCAGTCAGGTTGGCTTTATATACACGGTGCCCTACTTTGATTCATTTTAAGTTTTCCATTGTTGTGATAGGCCTGTCTTGCTTTGGGGTCACTATTACAGCAGCCATTTTTCACTGATCATGTTTGTAGAATTTGTCTTACTTTTTTTTTGTTTTACAAGTGTTCTGTAAAGTATTTTGACAGGTCAGCTGGTCACCTCTGCTCTAGTGCCACCATGAGGCCAGCACAAAGACTGCTAATCCCGTCATAGTATGTAAATGTACTGCTTCGGTTGAGGAGCCTGTGTTCCCTGTAAAGAGTACAATAAATATGAACAGATCACATTTGTCTTTGATTTTAAGAGCAATGCAGACTGACCAGCCAGTTTAAAAAAAAAAAAAACAATACTGTAAAAGACAAAAAGCAACAAGTTAAAATGGAAACTCTTTATTTACAATAGTTTACAATAGTTTCACAGAAACAGTTTGCACCACAGTACAGACAACGCTTTCTCAATAGGAGGATAAGACAACCCAGGATCAGAATAAACAAGCTGTAGCACAATGAGCATCATTAACATGAATTACACTTGTCTTAAAGACGCAGGCTAAAACTAAAATTTGCGTCTTCGGGTTCTCTCTTCAAGACGGGACTGTCCTGAGAAACAGCAAATCATTTAAGGTCTCGAAGCATCTTAAAAATATCACGACCTGGGTGATTGCTGGGTACGAACAACATGTGTAAATACCAGAAGACAAGAGTGCAGAAATGAGCTTAACCACTTTAAACTCTTGATAAGTCTTGTTTTTTTGTTTTTACAAACCAAACATTCATTGTGTGTGTGTGTGTGTGTTTGTCGTTCCCTGGTCAAGTCATTGATTCTGCATTGTAAAACCCCGTCCTGGACTAATATCCAAGGTTCCGAGTCTAAAATCTATCACTCTACAGTATGGCTTTTATATAATCAGAAACAACAGCAGATGGCACATGAATAACAGCTTAAAATCTTTCATCCAAATTGCAGAAACGTTTATGGGAAAAAGTGCCATAAAAAAAACGTGTTTTCCCCCCATTAAACCTGCTGCATATAGAAGTAACTGAATACTGCTGTAAAAACGTTAGCGAGAGGTGATAAGAGACTGAAATCTGTTCTTCTGATCTGACCCTTCAGAGACAAATGAAAAAAAACCCGACCTTGCCCATAGTACTTCACAGATATCAATGTCTCCATCTTACAAAATACCAAAAACCATGAAGCTTGGTTGAGACAACTCGTAGCAGCACATGCATTGTCAACACCCGTACAGTGTTAACCATTCAAACACACACACTCTCACATGCATAATTTCTGGCCTGACTCCTTCGAACACTCTTCCAGTTAAGATAGCATTTCTTATGATACTTAAACAGGACGGCCATACGAGTTCCCTTCTATAAATATACTCGTCTCTGAAAACTGTCATGAGCATGAAAACGCTTGAAAACAAGGTACATTTAAATAACGGTTTGGAAAATAGAAGTATTCACGAACAATGCCATTGTTCAATCCTACCATGAAATGCACCAAAAACACAGACCAGAGGCAACGGGAAACCTTTACTGAAAACCAGTGGACAGTAAACTCTTTTCATCTTATCTGAATCTTGGGGGTTATCTAGCTTTTCAAATCTGGGAAATAAGTTTTTTTTTTTAATAAATTAACTCCTCAGAGACAGTATTTTGGTGGAAGAAGAAAACAGTTTAAAACATTTTTGAAAAGCAAAAGTGTGCGACAGCTCCATGTGTGGCCGATCTTCATTAAGAGCAGTAGCAGAGGCTGGAAGACAGTTGGTGAAGTAGAAGGAAGAGAAGGAACAAGCGCTTGGTTAAAAGCCTCGCAGATATTCTTTCACAATGTCTAAAATAACAGAACAGAACAACAAACAGATAACGCAGATGCGGACTACACGCTCTTATCCTACATCTTTGTTCTATTGGATTATACCTCAGCTTAATACTATAGCACCATCTGAAGCAAATAACACAAGGCTCGACTTGTTTTCTCATTTGAAACGGTTAATTGTGTAACATTAATAGAGGCATCTAAGAGAAATCAAATCCAGTTTAATCAGAAAGACTTAAAAAAAGTGAGAAAAGTGCAAACTGTCTTTCCCCACATATCCCAGCATGCACCATAGTGGGTGGCAGTTGTGAGGCTATTCTCTCCATATGGCAGTTCAAATGTTTCCAGTGTTCGCAAGACACTAAGTACGTAGTCAGTAGCGGTTCGCTGTTATGCTAATGTCATCTACAGACAGACATCCATTCAGTGATTGCCTTACGCACAGAGTCTGCAGAGAAGCAGAGACAAACCTTTGTAAATCTAAAATAGCACTCAAACTGTTTTCAAATGGGATAAGGGATTGAGATAGGTCCACCAAAGTGTTTATAGAAAATGTGGGTTTCTTGGCTGACCATGAGGGACAGAGACTGAAGGGCGCAAGACCTGAATTTGAGGAAGGGTCAGTCAAGCCGGTGGAGGGGAAGCAGAAGTGGAAGGGGGTCGGACTTCAGGGTTCGGCCTGGGGGTCAGTCTAGCAGATGTTTACGTGGGCCTACGCGCGAGCGGTGGGAGCGGCGGGTGTCTGGGGGTCCATGTGTCTCCCGGCAGCTCTGGCACACGTATGTCTCTGGCACGTGGCTCTTGCGGATCTTCGCACACGACAGGTGGATCCAGGTGTGACACTGGTTGCATTCGATCATGGCCCGGCCTGCAAAAGGCTTCATGCAGAAACACGTCACCAGGTCCCACGAGTCGTCATCTGAGAAGACAGGAGAGAGCGTGCACGGGGAGTTAAGTTAAGCTTGGTCACTTTGTCAAACTTGTAACTGTGTAATATATGCCAATAGGAAAACTCACCTGAGTCTACCATGATGTCCTCGTCCTCTCCTGATCCATCCTCGTCTCTGAACACCACCTGTTTCCCTTGGCGGAACACCGTTCTGTTTCCCGGAAAACCCTCCACCTTCTGTACCTTTACCACGCCTTCTTCAATGTCTGGACCACCACGCTCCTCCCTGGGCTCCTCTTTGGGCTCCTCCTTGCAGGGGGCTGGGCTTGGGAGACGCTGGGGGTGGAAAGTGATGCTGATATCGTCTTCAGGCTCTTCTTTGATCGTTCGGCCTCCAAAGGAGACGGGGTATTCCAGCTCTGGGACTTTTGAGTGGGCCTGCTGAACCCCGCTTTCCTCACTAGCTGAATGCTCCCTCTCCCTTCTCCTTTTCTTCTTCTTCATCTTGTCAGCTTTCCTGCGGTCGTCTGGGTGCAGGGTGGTGATTGTGTGCTGCGGAAAAGAAACAAAGGGCACACATGTTAAAAGGGATGAATGTGAACATATAAGGTTAATGATACGACCTCGCTTCAACTCACATCTTTCTTGCCGTGACTGGACAGTGTGGCTCCTGGCTGTGGACGTTTCCTGCTCCTGTCCTGGGGGACCTTGGGAGGGCGCTGTGGACAGGAGGTTGGGGGTCCGGGTGTCCAGCCATCACTGTCAGCTGTGCTGCCTGTACTGTTGGGGGGGCTGGAACTACTGCGCAGTGGAGAGTCCTGTACCAATAAATGGAGAAGAATGAATCAGTCAGTGCAAACTTACATCAGGAGACAAAGTTGGTGATTGACAGATTTTAAACATGTGACAAGTCTTTGCAGACATTCATCCACTCAACAATAAGATGACCATATCCTATAATATTCCTGATTAACAATCAGGCAACGCTAAAGTATTATTATGACAGCTAGAATGTTTATCATATTCCATTTTTCAATTCGGACCTGTAGGAGCTCTCAATCCTACATGACAACAGTCTTGCTGTATTTGCATTAGCAGAAAGAGTATTAACAAATGACAACAGTCGTGCACCACTTGATGAAATGTGCACAGGCAGAGGGGGCGGAAATGAACACAAATCTAGCATGTGTTAGAGAAAACCAAAAGAGCAACCCGATGAAAGAAAAAAAACCTTCGAAGGAACAACCACAAGTTGAACAACATGAGTCAGAATCTAGAAATCGCTGCTGCTGATGGTGAGGAAGAGGAAGTGAATTTGTCCAACATCAGTTTTGAGAAAAACTGCGCTCATACTGAAAGAGAGGGTTCACGCTTTTGTGATCATTTTTGGTTCTAAAGAAACTGACATGGTAAAGGAAAATCGTGATTTTTTTCAAGGCAAGAAAAAGCTAAGGTTAGCTCTTAGCAGAGGGTGTGCTGAAATTAATGCAAACACACGAGAGCCAGAGAAACCACAGAGACAAACAAATCTGTTTTAACATATACTCATTGTCTGGCTATCTCCCTCCCTGTCTCCAAACAGAAGACACAATTCAATGAGCAAAAGAGAACTCAACATCTCATATCCAATTTGCTGACTCCACACATTTCAAGATCATCTTTTTTTAAAAAGGTGTGCCAACAGTCTGGCTTCCACTGCTCAATGCCAATCACAACAAATATGCAGGATTTTCATTAACTGGTATTATCCACGTGGTCAATGAATATTTGATTCTGGGTGGATTTAAAAGTACACTTTCTGTGTACTTTTGCATCCACCACCCAGTGATTTTCTCACGGGGCACACACATTATTTGTGTACGTCTTCAACAAAATCAAAATGTTTGTGGGAAATTAATGAACATAGTGTGGGACTATGCTTGTTTCTCTACTTGATGAATTTTGTTTTTTGATTTTTCTACCATACCAAGACATGTTCTCAGCTTATTATTTTGCATTTGAGTGTGTTTACACGTTGAAACACTCTTAATCTGCACAACAGTGCTCAGAGGTAATATAGCTGATTAAAACGAGTGCACTGACATTGTAAAACGCGCCAGTAGACAACAACATGGGCTCTTGTATGAAAAAATCAATGTACTCACATCTTGGGGGTACGGGATGTAACCGGCATAGGCCAAGACAAAAGTGCAAAACTTGTTAAAATCTTCTACCGTCCTCCTCCTCCTGTGTGGTGGACTGAAACCCTGAAACAGAGTCACGTCATTAAAACATCAGCTGTAAACCCACACATCCCGACATGGCGTTGACATTAACGAGAGCTGATCAGCACACAATCATAACGTTACTCTGCGAACTGCCATTTAGTGTCGGTTCGATAACAAAACTACAAAAAAAACATGTTGACACACACAGGCATTGACACATTTCTCTATGTGTACCTTCCCACCAACCCCCACCGATTAATGCAAGGTATGTACGACAGCTAGCGTAATGTTAGCTAGGTCGGCTAGCAACAGACAGCAAATAAGTAACTACTGCTAAGACGCTAGCTGCCGCTGGCTACCGTCA